TGGTTGAATCCTCCCAGGGCAGGGAGTCCAGGGGACATACCGCTCCTCGGGACAAGGAAGGGAGGAAAATCGATATGCTTGCGTGCCGAGTCTATGCGGCCTCTGGACTCAGCGTGCGCATATCAAACTACGAAGCGACACTGGCACGTTACCAGTACTTTACCATGCAGAAGCTGGATAATGTTGCTTCCTCCCTTCCAGACCACCAAGCGGACCTTGCCAGGGTTTTCATTAAGGAGGTGATGCAGGTGGTGGTGCAACAGTTGTCTACTGCTCGTCATCATGTAGACACCGATTCAAGGGCCCTCATCAATGCCATCTCGTTACACCAATATGCGTGGCTGCGCAATTGTAATTTCCCCAATGAGATGAAGCGCAGAATTGAGGAAATGCCATTTGACGGTACCGGTCTGTTCCACCAGAAGACCAACCGCAAATTAAAGGCGATTCACGAATCACACCTAACTGCACGCTGCATGGAGCTCCTGCAAAAACGTAAGTGGCAGTGACCTTGGTCTTCCTATCAGAACCAACCATACTATCCGCACCAGCAAAACTACCCTCGCCAGCAATATCAACAACAGCAGCATCGGAGACAGCAAACACAACAGCGTTTTTCCCAAGGCCGTCGGCAATTCGATACCGATAAATGCCCACGTTGATGGCTTGGGCGAACCATCCTCTCTTTCCCAACACCACCTTCCCTTCTCCCTTTTGGGAACCGGCTCCAGGGCCAACTCCCCATTTGGGTGTCCATTACATCTGATAGGTGGGTGTTATCTATCATCCAGTTCGGATATAGGATAGAATTTGATGTTATCCCTCCTTCGAGCCCGATCCGCTTTACACTTCTTCATTTGTGCTACGCGATGAGGTCTCCCGGCTACTTCTCAAGGGAGCGATTTGACAATTGTCCTGCTCGGAAGGATTGCATGGATTCTATTCCAGATATTTTACGGTCCCAAAAAGGGACGGTGATCTTCGTCCGATCCTGGATTTACGAACTCTTAATAAGTACATTAAACCGAGGACGTTCCGGATGACCACTTTGCAAAATATCCTTCCGTTATTGAAAAGAGAGGATTGGTTCGCCTCACTGGATTTGAAGGATGCTTATTTTCATATTTCCATACATCCTTCACACAGACGCTTTCTACGTTTTACTGTCAGATCCGACCTGTTCGAGTTTAACGTCCTACCTTTTGGCTTGGCCACAGCGCCTCGAGTCTTTACGAAGTGTATGGCGCCGGTATGCGCACACTTGAGGACATGGGGAATACAGATATACCCATACTTAGACGACTGGCTAATCGTCTCGCAATCCAAGCAAGCTCTCCTGTCTGATATACAAATGACCTGCGCTCTACTCGATGCTCTCGGTCTCTGCATTAACCGTGACAAATCGTCCCTTATTCCAATGCAGGTCATCGATTTCATCGGGGCACAACTCGATTCGACGCAGGAAAAAGCCTTCCTCCCACCGGAACGTCAGAGTGCCTTATGCAGCCATATTCATCGGATTCGGCTACACGGAACGGTCCCAGCCTTATCCGTTCAGAGACTACTGGGGCATATGGCTGCTGCAATTGCCATTGTCCCATATGCCAGACTACGTATGCGACCCATACAACTGTTTTTCAACGCTGCTTTTCAACCGCAACAAGATCCTGCCACCAAGCCGATTCGGATTCCATCTGCAATCCTTCACACTTTAACGTGGTGGACAATCACAGACAACCTGTCGATCAGCGCTCCGTTTCGACCACCTTGGCCAACGACAACTCTGTATACCGACGCATCCCTCCTTGGATGGGGTGCGGCATGTTCGGGACTTCGGGTCCAAGGTAGTTGGAACCGACGAGAGGTGAGGAAACATCAACTTTCTGGAACTTCTGGCGATTTTCAACGCCTTCAAGGCTTTCGAGACTGTGTTATGCTGTCAAGTTGTCCAAATTGCATCAGACAACATAGCGGCAGTTTTCTACATCAACAAGCAGGGGGGCACAAAATCCCCAGCCTTAGCACGCCTATCGATGGACATTTGGAACTGGTGCATACTGAGGAGCATCGTGCTTATGGCAGTTCATCTGGCTGGAACCAACGACATCAAAGCAGATACATTAAGCAGACAGATGTCAACAATCCACAAATGGGAGTTGGACAAACAAATTTGCGAGAAACTCTTCCACTTGTGGGGTTATCCGGACGTGGACCTGTTCGCCACGCGACAGAACAGCCTGTGTGCCCTTTACTGTTCCAGAGCGGGCGTCGGGCCGGGATCGATGGGGGACGCTCTTATGGTCCCTTGGAGCAACATGACTTTTTATGCGTTTCCCCCAATCCCACTCCTGACAAGAGTGGTTGCGAAAATAGCCCAGGACAAAGCCACGGGGATACTAGTGACTCCATGGTGGCCGAGACAACCATGGTTTGCCACTCTTTTGCTGCTGTCCAGAAGAACGTTCCTTCATCTACCAACTCTTCCGCATGTGTTAACACAAGGAGGAGCAATCCATCACCCGGATATACTCTCTCTGAAGCTGACGGCATGGCGGATCACCTGATTCATGCCACTGAGTCGGTACTGGGGGCACCTCACCCTACGGGTGACCTTACTCAATAGATGGTGTATGCGGCCCCAACTTCGGATTCGACAGCAACTGCCACGGTACCGATGCCTACGGACAGAGAAATTCAGGCGATTCTCAAATCTGCATTGAGACCGTCCACTCATCGTTCCTATACGGCTAAATGGAGAAGATTCTCTTCTTTTGCAGAGTGCCATTCCTTTTCCCCTGGAACGGCTTCAGTCACCAATATTTTACAATTTCTCTTGCATTTGCATCATGAGGGACTTAAACCATCATCCATCAAAGTTTATGCAGCCGCTATATCCTACTATTGTGGCACGATCCACGGATTATCAGTCTTCTCTCAACCGCTGGTTCGGCGTTTCAGTAAGGGACTACAAAATTTACATCCATCTATTCGCCCTGCCATGCCAACGTGGAGTCTTTCCGTAGTGCTCCAAGCACTTACCAAACCACCGTTCGAGCCTTTAGCAACTGTGGACTTACGCCTGGTGTCATGGATAACTGCCTTTCTCGTAGCATCTATATCAGCACGGAGAGCTAGCGAAATTTGTGCTCTCTGCATAGACCCACCATTTCTGAACTTCCATAAGGAAAAAGTCGTCCTTCGGATGGATTTCTCCTTTTTACCCAAGGTGGCCACACCGTTCCACCTGAATCAGGACATCATTCTGCTGGCATTCTTTCCATCGCCGTTGACCCCGATAAATACGTGCTCTACACACGCTTGATGTTCACCGTTGCTTGGCCTTTTACAGATCCCGCACTGAATCTTTTCGTACTACTAATAGACTTTTTGTTAAATACTCCGAGCATAAAAAGGGATCACCGATATCATCTCAGAGACTCTCTAATTGGATCGTCCAGACTATTGTCCTGGCTTATCAGCTATCGAAAATAGACTTTTCTGTCTTTCCAAGTGGCCACCCTACACAAGCAGTAGCGACCTCGTCCGCTTTTGCCGCAGGGGTTTCGGTGCAAGACATCTGCAGAGCTGCAATCTGGGCTGGTCCATGTACTTTTGCCAAGCACTATCGGCTTGATATACATGCCAGACAAGACTGCTCTTTTGGTAGAGCTGTTCTCTGATCTGTTCTTTGCTGACGTCACCTCCCTCCTCCGACTGTGGTAAGCTTGCATATCACCCATATGTGTGATGCACAGAGGCCACGATGAAGAAAAGCAGGTTGCTTACCTGTAACTGATGTTCTTCGAGTGGTCATCTGTGCATTCACACAAACCACCCGCCAGCCCTACTCGGTGTCGGTGAGTGGATCTTGTTTTTCTCGGTACCATACTATAAATAGCATCGGTACCGTTGGGTTATATCGCTGACTAGATATTGTTCTCGGTACTGTGCTATAATTCACATCAGTACTGTTCGGATATAATTGTGTTTTCTCATTACTTTTATTCTTAACCTCTAGAGGGCAAACGTGCGGTCTTCAAGACTGAGTAAAATGGCGGACACTCCGCTCTATTTATACCATGAAGTGGGAGGGGAGCGGAGTTTTCCCGCCAAAAACCATTAGCTTTCTAATCTTCCGGCCTAGGAACTGCGCAGGCGCAGCAACCCATATGTGTAAATGCACAGATGGCCACTCGAAGAACATCAGTTACAGGTAAGCAACCTGCTTTTCTAGAACCAATTTCCTCTCCTTCCCCACCATCTGTTCTGAAGGGCTGTCTGCTATGGTTTTATTTGTTTCTTTTCAAGCACCATGCTGTTTAACTGCCTGTACGGGCTATTTACTTTTTAAACACCTATCCAGGAAGTGTGGGATGGGGGTTTTGTGACAGCCACGAGCCAATCAAAACTGCACAAATCTAACTTTGCCAGGAGAAGAGGTTTCTTCCAAGCTCAATCTCTGGGAGAAGATGGTCTAGGTGCTGAAAATGTAGCAAGTGTGACTCACTAGTAAAATGTATATTCATCCATATGCATCTTTATTTGCTTTTGTTAAATATATATTAGTTGTTTGTTCAAACAATCCTAATAGCACTGTACCACCTCAAAATGGATATGAAAAAGAAACATTTAGCCTGCCCTCACATAAAACTCTTACTATATATGGAAAATTAACACTAACAATTTTTTGCACTTAGGCTATATGATTTATATTGAAGGGAGAAATGTGTGTGTGTGTGGGGGGGGGTGTCTGTGACATCACATTTCAACCTGTTCCCCCCATCCACCTTAGCAGAAACTGCCCCAACTTGCTCCCTGGTCACTTCTTGATATCGTGTGTCATGCTTGACAGATAGTTCATAAGGGTCTGTACAAGGAGTAGGCAAGTGCCTTGATGGGTATAGGGTGATAGTGCAGGGAGTTAGCAGGAGAAGCCAAGTGCATATGAAGTGGGAGTAAGTGAGGATGACATATTCAAATAAATAACTTCTTTATTACAGAAATATAACAATGACTGGTGGATAGGAAGATTAGTGAAAGAAGGCTGTGAGATTGGCTTCATCCCAAGCCCACTAAGGCTGGAGAATATTCGGATCCAGCAGGAGCAGAAGAGAGGGCGTTTTCACGGAGGGTAAGGGAGAGCACTTGTTTTATCATAACCATGTTTTGGTGCTGATTTTGTGTCGTTGGCTTATTTTACTCATTAGTTTAACTCATTTATGCCTTTAAATGTGGTGTTTCTTTTCTGACACATCGAAAAATTAAGAAAATAATGAAAGAGAGTCTGGTAAGTTAATAAATCAATGTTTTTTGCCTGGTCTTCATGTAGGATTAGATCAATCCAGTAATTGTCCATAGATCTTAGAAATGAATCGCCCATGGATCCTGAAGCTTCATTTTGTACTGATGGACCCTCTCTGCTTTTCTTTGGCATACACAAGTGTGATTGTTGCATTCATATGAATAGACTCCTTCCTTCTGGAATCTCAAGGCTTTTCATTTCAAAATTTTCTTAAGCTCTGGCTTTGAGGAGTCTGAGTGGTCAGTATTAGCCAGATGCTGACAAGTTCATCTTTTAACAAAGAATTAGGATGGCTGCATGTCCCATTATTTTACAGAGGCCGGTCCTCTGTTTGAAAGGCTGGCCAGTCCCAATCCAGTTTAAAGGTAAGGAATCCTAGGAAGGGAAAGCAGGGTCCTCGAAGCTCTGCATCAAGAGTTGGCACCTGAACAGGTCACTTGATCCCAACCATGGTGAGATACATGCTATTTCTCTTTAATTAATAGGAATTATTTTTAAAGATGCTTCTATACATATGCATTAGCATGTGGCTTTTTCCTTTTTGCAAATTCATATCCTTTTTTGCTTTTGCTGGTGATACATTTCCCCTTTTTTGGCCATGTAACTGGTTGTAAAAGTTGTCTTTGTAGCTCATGCAGCTGATACTGTTTTTGTATCATGTGTGCGTCCTTTAAAAATGCAACAGAACAACTTGTGAATATTTTCCTAAGTATTATGTGTAATGCAGGAAATAGATGTCTTTAATGGCCAACCTGAGAATTCTTTTACAGGATTGGCTATGAATAGAATAACATTTAAAAATCTGAATCCGTTATCTATAAATAATCTAGAAATCTATGGTTGCATTTAATTTGTTCCAGTGGACATACAACATTAGGGTGTGTAGTCATACTGTCCTGTCCCCTACATATGAATGAGTTCCAGTCCAAGAGCGCATTCATAAGTCCAGTCTGTTTGTAAGTCCAACCAAGTTACCTATATACCCAATTAACACAATTCACTATATAGTATTGTACTGTAATAGGTTCAGAACACTACTGGAGGACTTCTGGAAGTTATACTTCTGGGTACGTGGCAGTGCAGAAATGCACTCGTGTTGTTTGTCTGATAGGTTCTTCCTCATATGGCGTTACCATTAGGTTGGTGCTACTGGTGTTATGCTTTGCTGGGCTCACTCTCTCAATTATTACAGTAAAGTACACAAAAGCATATTTGCATCTTTGAAAGTTCACAACTTGAAGGTTCATATGTTGGGACTTATTGTATTATTGATGTCTGTTTAGTTGTAAGTCCCACCAAGTTCAGCAGGGCTTATTCTCATCTGAGGCTACAGGATTACAACCTTAAAGAAGCATGTTGGTCTTCCAGTTGCCATTTAGGATACTAAGGGCTTTAAAAACTATTTTCTTGCTTACTGAATTGTGTTGGAGTTGCTGGAAGGAAAGGCCTATATAGTTCTTGGATGGAGAAAGAAAATCAGTACAGAGGAGGAAACAAATCTTATGCGTCTTCAGATACCACAGGCGGCAATAATAGTGAGATGTTTATAGTTGTAGGGCGAAGTCTATCAATCAGCACTAGTAGCATTCTCAACTCTTTTCCAGAGCACTTGCTGGGTTATACCTAGAATGTTTTAGGCACTGAAGGAGGAGAAAACCATGGTAAGCCTCTCCTCCATACAAACCATGCAGCAAAAAAAAGGACAGTCTTTTAAGAGCAATGAGGAAAATTAGCAAAGCCAGTTGCTAGGTCACTCCATAGTAGGACAAAATAAATTGGACTGGAAAGGTGGTGTTTGCTGTTGAATAACCGAAAGCAACGAAATAATGATAACGTGCATGTAAAAGCCACCAACTACTTGGCAGCTTTGGAACTGTGATGTAGCATTTCCAGATCTAGCATTGGCATGTTTCATTTTCTGCCTGTATAGTTATCCTTCAGGTATAGGATGTCTTCATGATCTTCCTCTTAGCTTGTCCAATAAGCATTTTTTATCCCATCTGATCAATAATGCTTTGCCCTTTGATTAAATTTAAATAGTATTGAAGACCTGTTGACTTTCATCTTCTGCTTGCTCTAAGTGTGAAATGGGAATTCTTTTCATCATAGGAAATCAAGTGGAAATTCTTCTTCAAGCCTGGGAGAAATGGTGTCTGGCACATTTCGAGCTACACCCACCACCACTGGTGAGTTTTCATGTCTCTTAATGTCACCTTTAAAAATAATTTTGAATTGTGAGGTAGGGCAATTTACTAGATGGTTATAGTAGAAACCTGCATTCATGGTTTGGAATTCTTGTAGAAAGCCAAAAATGGGGGGAAAGCTGCATAGATTCGTTGCTGAGTTTAGCAGCAGCTATAGAGGAATTTTGAACAGGTTTTACTTCTTTTTTACGAGTGTTCTTCTAGCAAAATACTGAAATGATTGGGAATAAAGATCAGTCCATGGTTATGGAAAGGCTCAGCCATGGTGGCCTGTGCACATGTAGTTTGTCGTTTTGTTGCCATCAGTTGCCAGATTAGCACCTTGTCTAATATGTTTCTTGTTCTGGGAAAGGCTGCATGAGCAAGGTACCCACAGCTGCTAGAAGCAAAAGGATCCTGATGCTGGGCTAGGGTATCTGTCTTTCCTGTATGGAAGATCACTATTTCCATGTCCACGGCCCTGACTGAGACAAGGGTAACACTTACTAAATAGCACCTACAGTGTTCTAGGTGCCTTTTCTTCAACTCAGTTCCACTCTGGATTCAGGCACAGTTTTGAGATGGAATTGGCTTGGTCACCCTGATGAATGGCCTTTCTTGAGAAAGCAGGAGCTCAACCCCATTACTTTTTCTGGCTCTCTCAGCATCTTTTGGTACTGTTGACCACGGTATCCTCCTGGACTTCCTCCATGAGTTGGTAGTTGAAAGCACTGTTCTGTAGTGGTCTGACTAGTACTTGTGGCTCAGTTCCAGAGAACAGCATTGGGTGACTGCACTGTAGCCCCATGGCAGTTGAATGGTGGAGTGCCACAGGGTACCATCTTGTCTCTGATGTTCTTTCTTATCTATGAAGTTGCTGAGCATGGTCCTCAGGAGATTTCAGTCAAGGTGTCACCGATATGCGGATGGTACCCAGCTCTATCTCTCGGTGACTTCTCAGTTAGGAAAGACCATGCACACTCTGAACCAGGGCCTGGATGCAGGCTGATTAATGGCAACTGAATCCCAATAGGACAGAGACGGTATTGTCTGGCATTTCTCCCATCTGGGAGTTGGAATGTCTGTGTGTTAGGCTGCAGTTGCATTTGCTCTGAAGGAGAATAGGTAGTTTGGAGTGATCTTAGATCTTTGTCACTGGAGGCCCAGGTGGTCCCAGGAGTACCCACTATCAGCTTTGGCTGGTAAAACAACTATGCCCATTCCTGGATTGAGATAAGCTAACCATGGTGACCTATGAACTGGTAATGCCATTATCAGACTATTGTAATGCACTCTTTGTGGGGCTGCTGCAGGGCTTGGTTGAGAATCCATAGTTCAGGATGCAGCTGCTAGGGTGCACGCACCTTGCACTACACTCACACACAACCATGCTCAAATAAGAACAGTGCTGAAAGAATTAAACTGGCTGACTATTCATGACCTAGCCATGTTTGAGGTTATGCTAAACAGGTTAGGACCAGGGCATCTCACAGTTCTCCTTCTCTTAACAGTCATCCCAGCTGGCTGAAGATTGTTGGAGGAGGCCCTGCTGGTCATTCTAAAATTATCAGAATGTTGCCATGTAATACCTTGATGGTGGGCCTTTTCAGTAAGGGCACACAGCAGAAGCCCTGCATCAGAAAAAATGCCCTCATGCAGTTCAGGAGATACAAAATTTGGCATGTTTCAAATGCTTCCTGAAAATGTACCTGACCCCCTGGCTTTTCCTGCTCATAATTAAATAACCTGTGCTGTTCCATTTTAGTGTGTTGTTGCTTTGTTGTGTTTTTAAAATTATATTTCACTTGTGATTTTAATTGTGCTTTTAATATTACATGGAACTGCTTAGGGATTTTTAGCTAATAAAATAATACAAATAAATAAACATAACAAATAAATATGCATAGCTCTTCTGTAGTGTGGAAACTCTGGATGAATGTGACCTTTAAGTCAAGGGACCTAACTTCATTTGGCTTGTCTAAAGCTTTGGCAGGAAATATCAGCCGATCTTGAATCTTTCTCACCTCAAGGTAGTCTAGTAGGTAAAGCACCACCTGACACTTGCTGTTGATGCCCTTTTGTTCTAACCCCTCTAGCTTTTTGTTTCATTCATTCATTTATTCACTGAGATATACTGGAGCTGGAAGTGTCAGGGCATTATACATAATAAAAACAAAACAGCAACACCTCGGAAGGGTTGCTTTTGTAACACCAGCCAGATGCAATCAAGTCACTGCAATGATCTGGAAAACTTCTACTAATTTTCCAGAGCCACAAAGCTATTATACCTTTGTTCATGCCCACCATCAATGGCCCTTTGTGCTCCCAACCTGCAGTGTATAGCTATCTGTGGGCCTAGCTCCCCTGCACATGGCTCTATGGTATGGGTCTGCCTGGGATACTTCAGGGCCCTTCTCCGTTGGGTACATTACTAGAGCTGTTGACTTTCTGTGGCATTCTCAGGATCCCACAAAGCATTCTTAGTGGAAGAAAGCATTATGTCAGTTGTTGACTTTATGCACAATGATTGAGTCTCCCCATCATCTCCTATATCAATTTCAACTGAATGGGACTAAAGAGCATGGCATTTTGTGGCATGATGTGATTTATCACACTCTGTGATCCAAAGGCCAACCCATGCCAGGGTCTCTTGTATCCACAGTGAGTTTCCAAGTAACCTGAAACTGAAATCTTCTGAAAAAAGTTAAATGTACTTGCTTTGATGTTATTTCTCCCTTTCACTCCTGTACATAGCCAACTCCACGCCATTGAAACTCAAGGCGCAAGCCTCTAAATACTTAGTCATCCTTTCCAAAGCACACTTTCTTCTTATTTGGCAGATCTTAATCCCCCAATTCCCTGCTTTTCCCTCTATCACTTCCATTAGGAATGCACTGCCATCTCAGTATCAAGAGGTAGTGTACCAGTCAATCTTCTTTCAGTAAAAACTTACATTAAAATAACATCTCTGTTCTTCTGTGAAAGTAGACTGTGCATCTCCCACCTCTGCACAAGTTCCCAGTAGTTCTGGGTTCATCAGACACATGCATAAACATGCAAGTTTGGATGTATATGTGCACAAAGGCATTTAGCAACTTTATGCAACTGTTCAAACTTTCTGTGTTGGATGCAGCAGTTTTTGAACTCATATTTTTGGGTTTGTGTACAAGCTCTATTAGAATAGATGGGGATTGAAGAAACTGTCCTTGTGAATTTGGGACCAATGAATATGCTTTTACTAACTCTTAAAAAGCCACAAGTAATAATGCAGTTAAGTTTGCTTCAAAATACATAAATATGCTGGTTCCCTTTGAAAATGGAGTGAGGACATATTGTTCAACTGCAGTTTCATCATGCCTCACTATTGGGTATGCTAGCTTGGGCTGATGGGAGCTGCAGTACACCAACATTTGGAAGGCCACGTATTCCTCATCTCTGCTTTAGACCTTTTGCCAGCCACACAGCAACCAATGTAAGTGGGTACCATGTGGCTAAGTTGCTGCAGCTGAATTGCTTGATTGCATTTCCCACAGAAGTCTGGTTCTTTGGGGGAAGACCCATGTGATCACTCCCTTCCCAGCCAAGTTGGACCTACAGTTGCCAATCTTGCAGCATAGGACCAGCTCCTGCATGGCTACGAGAAGGTTTAGACAGTAACACTGTCATCAGAAAAAGGATCATTTGGTTCTAAACTGATGTCATTTTTGAAGAAGTGCTTGAAGTTTAGGGAAGAAATCTTGGAATGTTGATCACATTCCTGTCAAAAGAATGAAGACACTCATTCAGCAGTAATCGAAACAACACTGCTCATTTGGAATAGAGTCCAATTGCAAATTCAAATGTCAGTACTTTCTGTTTCCAGGTTATTTGGGCTATCATCAGATTAAATAATATTGTGCACGTTTAGTTTGCACACCATGTGATTGTTCCATGGTTAAGCAAAGTAATGTTTGCTTTTTGTCTTCCAGCAAAACAGAAACAGAAAGTGGTAAGTGTACCCTCTTAAATCCACTAGCAATTGCCTGTTGAGAGTATGGTATCGATAGTGCACATTTACGAGGCATATTGTTTCTCTTCCAGACAGAGCACGTGCCTCCCTATGACGTAGTACCATCCATGAGGCCTGTCGTGCTAGTTGGCCCCTCCCTAAAAGGTTACGAGGTAAGGATTCTCATTCTGTTTAGTAGTAATAACAGACACTTCTGACCCACTTCCAAAACACCTGGGGCAAATGTAATAATTTCTGAGATTTGAGTAGAACAATGGAAGCTGCCCCATAGGCTTCTTCAAGACAGTGTGCCAGGCTTTGTGGAATGGTCCTGGCCATTGGACCTTTTAATGTCCAGAAGCTGTATAATGGATGTGGGGGAACAGAGACCCTCGCTGCAGAAATAGTGGCCTCGTTGTGGTCAGGATGATTTTTTTCATTTTGCTTTTTAAAAATAAAGACAGGTTTGTACTTTCACACTGCACAGGGGAGCAGTTATCCTTTAACAACTTTTTTTTTCTTTTAAAGTAAGAAATTCAGTGCATTGCTTCTGGGAGAAGGGAGTACCTTTTCATATTTTTGTTACTTAAAAACACACACACAAAAGTGACTAGTCGCGTCACAAACTAACCCAGCATGGAGGAGAATTCCCAGTTGTTGCTTATGATGTTCACATGGTAATGACAAGGGAAGTACATGTACAGGAAGAATGGCATTTTTCAAGCAATGCAATAGAACAGTTTCAAGTGCTGCAAAAACTTAATAGCCCTGCAAGAGACATGCAGCATTTTTATTTATTTATTTATTTATTTTTTGGCATGGGGAATCCTCTGGATTCCCTACAAATAAATTGATAATAACTTTAGATTATTGTAATGATTTGCCAAGTTCCCAATTAACAGGGCAGTATACAGCATAAACTGATTTATCCAAACAATACATGAATCACTTTGGATTGCGACCTAAAGACCAAAAACATGCTGTCAGTATGTGCTACAAACACAGAAAATGGAGACGGTCTCTGCAGAAGTTCCAATCATCAGATTAAAGCTTCTGTTTTAACTTAATGTACATTTCCTTCACACACAACCATCTGGTCTGGATGCAAATTAAACTTTGTTCGTGTGCACAAGCCTTAGATTCATGCCCTGCTCCCCTCCCCTGTTTCCTGTGGTTTAGGAAAAAACTGATTTGTGTGTAAGAAAGTACCTATGAGGGACAGAGTGTGCGGTGGATGTTTGAGTGTGTCTGTGTGAACAGATGGGTGCTTTGAGAAAGAAAGAGAGGAAGAAAGATGATGATGCTGGAGGGAGCAAAGGGTGGGTTTTGGATTTTGGTCCCATCCACATTTGGGTTTTGCCCCACCTACTTTTGGGTTTGGCTCGATCTATGGTGTTTATGTCAACCCTCACCCATTTTCATCCAAGGGAAATTTCCAAAAGATTGACTACTCCTGCTTCAGGGAAACAAGCCAGGATTGCAAAGCATTGAGTCATATTACGCTTGCTTTCCAGTCTTACTTAACACTATCAGACCCCAATTTTTAAAGATAGAACAAAGGTTTCCCCTCTCACCATATCACTTTTCCCATGAGCTCAAGGCTCATTCACATAATGCAAAAACCTGCTCAGGGAGCCTTATGGCTAATGGGGTGAGATAAAAATTGGATGGATGGGTGGATGGATAGAATAAAATATTACAAGTGTAACATCGAAATGCATTTCTCTGCCTCTCCAGACCAATTTCTCTCCTTTCTAGATGACCAGTTTCTGGTATTTTACTTATTTGTTACATAAGACCAAACTGCTCTTTCCCAGGATACACTAACATTGTGGTGATCTTGCATGTTTATCACACGTGAGCAGCAGGATTATTCTGTCACTGCAAAAATGTCATTCATTTCCTATCAGACCATCCAATTTTCATTGCAACCTCTAAATGAGAAATAACTGAATCTGTTACATGTTGCTTGTGACCATCCAGTGTTAAGTAAAACATCTCTTACTCACATAAACTCAGCATTTTCATAACTTAATGTTATCAAGCCCTAGTGTGTTCTGGCTTTTTGAAAGCATTATATTGTTAATTCTTGGATTACAAGCCTGGGTTGCTTGCCCCTCAATGACTCAGAATCTCTAAGCTGGCCGTCATGCTCAGTGGGAACAGATGCTTTGGCCCAAGAGCCACCATATGGGCTTATTTGTGCTTTCATTGCTTGTTCACACACTGGGGGACCATGACCCAGAGCTAACTCTCTTTCTCTCTTCCATACAGCAAGTACATCCTCATTGCCTTAAAAAAGTTATTTAATAATCTGATCTGTTACACCACAGATTATATTTACACAGGATGAATTGCATGCATACCCAAACACTAGAGCAAATTAAAAAGAGAGTAGGGAGCTGGGGAGAAAGGGATAGACCATTACCTATGCATTGTGAAAATGTAATTTTTAATGTAAGACAAGTACTAAACATTTTAATATGTGCAGGATTCCAAATCGAAAATATTGTCCTGGATTGAGCAGGGGATTCAACTCAATGGCCTTATAGGCCCCTTCCAGCTCTATTAGTCTATTATGATTCTATGATATACTGCTGCTCTTGCCAGGCTGGGCCTATCTTTTTCTATTTCAGAGGCTCCTGTTTGGGAATAAGCAGTTAAAACTCCAGAGTTAGCATGTGGAAGAGAGAACTAAAAGGCAAAGAATTGTTATGTCTTTCCCAGCTCAGTTAGCAATTTCCCCCTGCAACTGTCCCCCTGCACATTAGCATTACAGGAAACATAAGGGATCAGAACTTCCTAAGGGAAATTCATAGGATCGGAGTACAAATACATCATTCTCATATACTTTTCTGGAAAAAAAATGTTGGGAAGGGTTTAAGCAGGGGGATAAAATCTCAATCTCTCTCTCTCTCTCTCTCTCTCTCTCTCTCTCTCTCTCTCTCTCTCTTTATTTTCCTTACAAGTTTATATTCCCTCACTTGGCAAACACTCTTACAACCCTGTTTTTTCAAATTTATAGCAACATAGCTGTTCCCCTAACAGCAGGGCTTATTCTTTCCCCTCACATCCATTATCTAGGTTGATTTTTTTCTTTTTAGGTTGAAATTTTTTATTTAAATAAAAACATACTACAAAATTATCTAGGGATGAGATACTGATGTGATGTTGATGTATGTGTGTATGCACATGTTGTTCATTTGGAAAAGCCCTGAGGAATCTCTCTCCATCCCAGTGTTACTTTTTGAATCTCTCAACTTTGATCTATATTGTAGATATTACAGTATAGAGCAGGAGTGGGCAGAAGGTAGATATCTGGGCATTTTAGACTTCAAATCACAGAAGCCCACCTGCCAGCATAGCCAGTGGTCAGGAATGCTGGAAGGTGAGTCCAAAAAATCTGGAGAACTATCTACTATAGAGGTATTTCCTATCCACATGGCTCATAATCAGAATAGACCAATAAGACGCAGAGAAAATAATGAAATATATGACTGAAAAGTATGGTATTTGCAGTTCTGCAAAATGAAAATTACCAAAGTTTGCAGTGGTCATTTCACATGGCACAGTAACTCCTCTTCCCCCCCCCCTTCAATTCTTTGTTATTGTGACTGAGGCAGCGTGTAGCCTCATGCCATCTGGAAGAAGCTGGACAAACCATGGATCACCCATGCAGCAACCTGAATTGCATAATCACCACAGCCCACCATGGCTTAATTAATTAAGTTGTGCAACAGACCATGGGTCACTTGAGGGTTTGTGTTCAGATAACACAGCTGACTATGACAATCCTGCACTAGGTAGCTGAATATTCAAAATGACTGCCATGGCTTGACTAGGCCACAGTGGACTGTGTTGATCATGCATAGGCCCGGTATTTAATTAGCCTTATGTGCAAACCAGATAATGTGGCTTGTCTCTCCTTCAAAAAACCTCAAAACAACATGCTCTTGACCCTGGCTTGTTAGAGATCCTGGTTTGCATTTGAAGTTAACCAAAGCATGGGCACAGAACCTATAGTTTGTGTAGCCAGCAGTATTGTAGCAAGAGCGTATGGATGGTGTGTGCCAGCACAGTTCTGGATTATGATATGATCTGGGCTAGTATCTATTTTTAAAAAACTTACATGATGCTTTTGTTTAGAGATAAAATATATGCTATGAACACTTGCTGAGCCCAGGGGCACTGTTTTACAAACATGTAGCTTTTTAGTTAAAAGATGATCTCATTTTTTTTAAAGACAGTATTAAAATGGTATTGGGAACGAAGCAAGTCTGAGATGCTTAATTTTGTCCAGATAATTTGACAACAAAGCATAGATTGGTTGCTTTAGAAGACTTCATTAGGAGTAGGAGGGTGGCATATAAATGCAAAAATAAATAATAGTTGTATGGGTGTGTAAGCAAAAGAGAGCAAGAGAATGACATGCTCTGTCTTCTACCAGGAGAAGAAGAATATTACATACACATTTTTTTAAAAAACAGAATAATAATATTTCCAAGGAAACCTGTATGTGAACAGCGAAAGAACTGCTTTTAGCAAGATAAAAGGCCTGCTGACAACTTTGTAGTGGATAGAATGTTGCTTTTTAGAACTTGCATCCTCACGCCACATTGACATTTGCAGAATAGTTTCTCAAAATAAAATTCAATGATTAAGTTCTTAAAAACAGGATAAAACAACAGTTTAAGCTCACTTTGCTCATGGCTTAATCTTGCTTACAAGGTTGTTGTGAGAATTAAGTGTTTTGCCTCATGTATGCCACAATGATTCATAGACACACAACAACAGACAGAGTGTACACATAGGATACAAGCATTTCATTTATTTGGATAATATTTAAGGCACCCTTCATACAGAACACAGGGGAAAGCATCTAATCAATTAATACATAAATTTTGTAATGCTTCAATGCCAGAAAATGGAAAGTCGCAATATTCAAGTACAACCCAACTAAGTGCCTGCAGAAATCTGGGAACAGCAGATATTCTTTCTTCTAAAAATCTTGGGCAAAGTGAGAGCACATTTTGTAAGACTAGGCTGCTCAAGTTCTCTTTAAGGGTTTTCCTTTTGTTAAGTCTTCTCCACATCCACACGGGTGCGCGCACACACACACACACACACACACACACACACAAACGGAGGGAGGGAGGGAGGGAGGGAGGATGAGAATTTATATCCCAGCCAGACAGAATCATGCATTGCTCAGAAATGGAGAGTGGAACCCCTGCTTCTGTTAGTTTTTGATAGGTGTTGGATAGGAATGAAACAGAGTATGGCTAACATCATTTGGAGAGTTTTAAGGATATTCTTGTTTAATGAGAGAAGAAGAACAAGTAACATCTTGTGGTCTCCCATGTGCAAGTTCTTGGAATGAGTCAGAAAACTTTTGAGCATTTGACATTATGTATTTAATTCCATCTGCATAATTAACACTGGATTTATCAGTTAAAGGAGATCTGATAAGATACAGCACTGTTGAAATGTAAAGGGAATTGACTGTTTGCAATGCCCTCACTTTCCACCTCTTTTCTTACCTTGGGCTTCTTTCTTTCTGTTGTTATTCTTCTTTCCACAATCTTCCTCATCCCTCCAAGGTGACAGACATGATGCAGAAAGCCCTGTTTGACTTCCTGAAGCACAGGTTTGATGGGAGGTGAGGAAAAAGGTTCTTTTTCTTGTCTCTGCCCCCATATTAATTATTCTATCTGGTACTTCTGTCTAGATGGCTTCTAATGTATGTTTCGGTGATGTAGTATATGCGTGGGCAGAAGGCATACTGGGATTTACTGCAATAACTCAGCAGGTATTTCTGACTCTCAGCAGAAATAACTAACCACCACCACCCCTCCGTCAAATTAGCTTATTGAAAAGGAGCACTTGTGGAGGGTGGTAAACTCGAGTGGGTTTTGTGTGAAAGAATTTGTGAGTTTGGTTCTGGTACTGATCAGATTTATGTGATGAGCACATGCTCAGAGGCACCCTGTTCCTTAATTCTTCTGCATGTCGACCTGCCTGAACCACTAATTTGAAATCAACCCCAGCTGATGGACCTCATGGATTCAGTATGTGTAAGTGTGCATATATTTATGGATTTAGCTATATCTTTATATAGATACTAGATTTCACAAACCTGAAGCCTACACACCCTTGGTTAATTTTACAGTGCAGGTACTCATCACAACACGCCCCCCCGCCCCCAATAGCCGTGTGTGTGTGTGTGTGTGTGTGTGTGTGTAGCAAGAGCTATTAGGCAGCTCACAACTGGCTCACACAGGTAGGGAAAATAAGCCACTGCCACACAAACCCAGTCAAGGCATATTTGTGACAGTTTGAGTTCAACTTGTTATAGACACTGATCTTTAACAAAAGATCTTCAGCCCACTTTAGCTTTGAATTACAAAAGCAAACAATCTTGCAAAGAAGTGTTACCATTTAAACTGCTCCTGTGATGGAGGACACTTCTCAAAGAAGTGAAAAGATTATCCAGAGTGGCTTGATGATTTTCCCAGTTCTCTGTTCTCTCACAAACAGTAAACCTGAAAGTCTTGTTATCACAGAGCAAGGAGAGTTTATTAATTACCCAAGAACTCTGGGAAGGGATACCAATATTCCTACGCTGAAAATTTCCTAGAGCTGTGCTTGCTTCCCTGTGCTTGCCCCTCCACTCCACCACTGGTTTCAGTACAGTTCTCTAGCTCTTGGTATATTCTTTCACTTAATTTTAAAATATAGCCATTTCCATTATTTTAGAACAATGTAACAATGTTCCATTACTTTGTATGGTGTAGGGATTTAACAACAGAAATGAATCTTCAGCCTTCATAAATCGAAGCTGAAAGTGGGGATTGGTTGAATATAGTTATTTTTCCTCCAAGAAAAATACGAAGCTTGGCTGAGATGAATCAGTGTTGTGCAATACAGAATCACTGGTCTGAAATGTGCTATTTTCTGTGCTTGTAAATTTTCTATGCATTGACCACAATTCCCCAGAACTTCAGGTTAATGTTTGAAATATGGGATAAAATGTTTCCTGAAAATCACAGCTGATCCAAATATAATCATAATATTTAGCAGTTTTTACAATATACCAGTATGCACAATATAGCATGATGCAATGTTCACAAATTATGGAAAAGACTGCTGTCCTGCAGAGTTGTTTCCAGTCAAAGTAGGCATTTCTGGACTAGATGGACCGATAGTCTAACCTGTCAAAAGACAGCTTTTTGTGTACCTATGGGAGGCTGATGTGTATGTTTTGCCATCTATGTGGTAATCCATCATTAGCTTTTGAAGCTGCCCTTTAATCACACTATTGTTTGGTGGCATTTAAAATTGTACAGTATAAGAGTTCACAACAGAGATGGCATGCGTTATTAGGACCTGTGAGGGGGGTAGTGATGCAGCTCCTTTTTCACACAGTAAAGATGCACTAGGAAGGAAACAAGAAGCAGCTTTGAGGAAGGTATACTGCAGGACCAAGTAGCTACAAAGAAGGCCTGAGTCTTGAGGAGGCCTTCAATATGTGAAGTGGAGAAGCAACACCTTCCGTTCATCCTTACCTATCTTCCAGTTAAAAACTCGGGTGGAGGCAATTCCCAAGGAAAGAGACACTAATGTGCCCATGCCTCCTCTTTCCTCAATGGGATATCTGCCAGTTCTGTTGAAGTCAGCTGAGTATAGGCGATACCCACAGCGCTTCAGTGGGAACTCAAGAACATGAGTTCCTGAATGCATTTCTCTAGTTTTAACCTATAGATGTAAAAAGCTGTGCTTCAAGGAATGGGATTCAGGCATGTGTCTCAGCATAGCCAGGGAAAGAAAGCATGCAAGTGGCTTTACCAGTACCTGATTGCCCCCTCCTCCCCACCCCTCATGCACAGAGCCCTCTGCAGCTATCACAGAAGAGAAAAAGCTAGCAAGTAGCAGCTACAATATACACTCCTGCATGCTTTGCAGATGTGTGTGTGCGTATTTTTCAGTGTTAGAAGCAAGTTAATGCTTGTGTTTAATTGAAAAAATATTAAAGGCAAACTTTGGAAACCATAAGTCTTCAGATGGAGACACCTGTTTATTTCATTCCCAAGCTGCCATTTGTTAGATTAATTTCAGTCAAGGCATTCTTGTTATGTTTAATGCACTTCCAAAACTGAATATGACATTCAAAATGAGCTAATTGTAATCTAGCACTTGTATATCTGTTCAGAATAGAGAGAATAGAAACAGTATGCAAAATATAGTGCTGAAGGAATCAGTATGTTTTCAGTAGTGAGAAGTGAAACTGCAGTTTGGAGAAGATAATGCCCAGAAAATTAAATTTGACCTCAGTTTGCTTCAAAATGGTATGCATCCAAGCACTGAATAGACAACCATCCAAGCAAACAGAAAATTTATATTTCCCCCAAAGCTAGATGCATTTTAATTGATGTGTACTCAGTTGAAACCATTTTAGAAGGGTAGTCTTTTCCTATATTCTAATAAAGAGCTCATTCTTTGGGGATCCTTATGTAACCGTAATAGCACTACCAGTACACGAGACTGACATAACAGCAGGCTCAAAGTAACCCCAAGGTTTTGGAAACAAAGCAAAGCAAAACAAAGACAAACAAAACCCTGTAAAATAGATTCAAGCATGGGGGCTCAAAAAGAACATACAGAGTGGACATGAAATGCTGACTGATTCTGAAGGAATACTGGGTCAGGGGATGAAATAAAATATTCTGAAGGAGGGCACCACTGGCTCCCTAGACACATTGTAACTTTTTCTAGCAGTCCCATATGTGTGTTTAAGTGATTGAGAGCCATTTTTCTTAATACTGGAGGAGTGACACTTAGATGGCTTTGGATTTAAGAAAAGAATGAAAAATGTTTGCTTCCAAAATGAGTATTTTTGGAATAAACTTTAGTGTGCCCTTTAACTGGGCCACTCCGGCGGGATGGTTCTGAATTTCATCTCTGCCATGAGAGCAGCAGATGCTCTTAAATAAAGTCTCTGTGCTTTGACTGGGCCTTTCCAAGATATGAATCATCTCATTCTTAAACTGCTCCAGTGTTACTTTGTGTGTTTGGGGTCCATATCCTGCTGACATCTGAACCTCTGCCCTAGGCCCCTTGCAGACTGAGTTGGGTTTTCCTCTAGAATTGCCCTATATTTGGCTCCATCTAATTCATCCTCAAACCAGACCAGTTTCCCAGTCCCTGATGAGGCAAGGTGTCCTGCTGCTACCATGCTTCACTGTGGGGATGGTGTTGTCAGGGCAGTATGCACTGTTGACTGTGGCGCACAAAGTGCTTTGCAGCAATTCCTAAAGTTCAGGTTTGGGGCTCATCAGGCTAGAGAATCTATTTCCACATGTTTGCTGTGTCTCCCACACACCTTTTTGCAAACACCAAATGGGCTCTGATATGAGTTTGTTTCAGCAGTGGGTTTCTTCTCACGACTCTATAAAGCCCAGCTCTGTGGAAAATCAGGGTGGCTGTTGTCCCATGGATGGTTTCTCCCTCTCAGCTGTGGATCTCTCCAGCTCCTTCAGAGTTACTGAGGCTGATCTCATTTTTTTTTTTTATCATGAAACTCAAATACTTTGGCCACCTAATGAGAAGGAAGGAGTCCCTGGAGAAGAGTCTAATGCTGGGAACAATAGAGGGCAAAAGAAGAAGGGGACAACAGAGAATGAGCTGGCTAGATGGAGTCACTGAAGCAGTTGGTGCGAGCTTGGGTGGACTCCGGGAGATGGTGGAGGACAGGAAGGCCTGGAGGAATGTTGTTCATGGGGTCATGATGGGTCGGACACGACTTTGCAACTAGCAACAACAACAAATCTCTCTTGTGGACTGCAGGAATGCTGGGCACGTAATACTGTATATCTTTTCTTCAACAAATCTTTTGACAAAGTTTCCCCTGATTAGCAAATTAGTTGAAAATAGACTAGATGGAACAAGAAGGTGGATCTTTAGCTAGCTACTGAACTGGATTCAAACAGTGCTTATCAGTGGTATTTTCTCAAACTGAGGAGAGGTAATGGGTGGGGTACTGAAAGCTTCAGTCCTGGGCCCAGTGCTCTTCCACATTCTGATTAATGATTTGGATGAGGAGGTTCAGGGAATGCTTCTCATATTTGCAGACGATACAAAAGTGGGTAGGAGAGCGAATATCCTAGAAGACAGATACAGAATTCAAAGTGATCTTAATAAATTGGAATGCTGGGCTGTAATCAAAAGAATGAACTTTAATAGGGACAGATGCCAAATTCTGCACCTACAGAAAATACACCAATTGCATAGTTACGAGATGAATACTAGAGAAGACTTCAAGTATCGAGGAGATATATATGGAAGCCAGTATGGCTGTCATGGTTTGAGTGTTGTACTGGAATTTGTGAAGTCTAGGTTCTGGTTTCCATTCAGATATCTAACTCACTTGATGACTTTGGGTCAGTCACTGACACTCAGCCTAGACTACCTCACAGGGTTGTTGTGAAGATAAAATGGGAAGAGGATCATGTAAGCCCCTTTTAATTCTTTGGAAGAAAAAAATAAAGGATATAAATGCCATAATAAAAAAAAGGTAGGTTAGTTGACACAAGCTCTGTCTCATTCTGGAAAGACAGAATCTAGACATGATTATTCATGGCTTGGTAACATCAAGGCTGGATA